AACTGGCACCACCGGAGCTCCTCCGCGGGTCAGGAGCAGCAGCAGGAGGCAGAGGAGCAGGATGAGGCCCCTGGCACTGCAGGTACTGACTCAGACCTTTATGTCAACTTATGCTCCCCAGGGATCTGCACTGGGGTCCCTGGAGACCCTCAGCTGGTGGCTGTGAGGGGCTGGTCCAGCCTGGGGTGCTGCAGATATGTGGAAAGAGGCATCTGGCTGTACTGGGGAGGGGGAGGACAGCATAGCAACCCCTGAGAGCAGCTGTGAGCCATGAGGGTCCCTGGAGCCTGGGATCCCACAAGATTTTGCTGTTTTGCAGAGCAAGATGAGATCGCCAGGTCCCTGGGCAGCATCTCCTCCCCTACCTTTGGCTGGGAAAAGCAGAACTACTCAAACGGTGTGTCCAGGCTGCAGGGGGCCAAGGGCTGGATGAGGGTGGGAGATAGGCTACCCTTGATGCCCTGGCACAGCTGGAGCATCCACTGTGCCCTCAGTACCCTGGGCATGTGGGCTGAGCTGCCCTCCCAGTTACTGGGCAGTGGGACACTCCTCTGGGTGCATCATGTTCTCACTGTGCTTAACTCTCCCCCTTGCAGGGCCTCCATCCAGCCCCTCCACCACCTCCATGGGCTCTCAGAAATCCACAGAGAGTATCGCAGGCTCCAGGTGACACTGTGGGATAGGGGGATGCAAGGGACCAAAAAATAGCATGTTGTGGGGAGAGGGGGACCGTGACACTTTTGGGGAGCTGCTGGTCCCCTGTCCCCTGCCAGCTCCTGCAGCATAAGTGGGGGAATTTGGCACTCCAGCCCCTTCCCTGCATCAGTTGGGCATCCAGCTGCCTTTCAGGAACTCCTGCCAATCCTGTTACCTTGCCTGTGACCCCACAGATTTAGCCTGAGCAGGCGCAGGGGTCCCAGCCTGGTGCTGCGCCCGCAGTGCCTCAGCCCAGAGAGCGAGCGCTCCAGCAACCACGCCAGCCATGACTACCTCCCGCTGGTAAGGACCTGCTCCCTGTCCCCATCCCAGCAGGGGGATTTGCCCTGCTGGGTGCCAGCTGAGCCACCCAGGTCATGCCTGGCAGCACGAGCAGTGGAAAATGCTGTGTCAGCCCTGGATGGGGAACTGGGTTGGCTTTTTGGGGGGCATTAGACTGTCCCTGTGCCCCAGGGACACTCCTGCAGCCCCAGTGTTTGGTGCTGTGGTGGGTCTGCACCCCTGCCTGCCCTCCCCACTTGTCTGTGCCCCCTCCTTGCAGGTGCAGCTGCAGCAAGCCCGGGGGCC